GCAGAGGGAGGAGGGAGAGAGAGGCGCGCGAAGGGCCAGGGAGGGGAAGGGAGAGAGGGGAGGCCTGGGAAGGAGGGGAAGGCAGGGGGAGGGGAGAAGGAACAGGGAGGGAGGAGAAAACCAAGTAGCGTTGAGGAGGGAAGACGGGCGAGGAAGAGAGGGGGCAGGAAAGAAGTTGGGAGGGAAAATTCCAGAAAAGGGGGGGTCGTGGGTAGAGGCAGAGAAACTCCCCTGGCGTCCTGCAGCCCAAGGACCACACTGAGGGGCAATGCCGGGGAGCTTTCTCGCACCCGATGTTCACGCCGAGTTGCCCTCATGCACAGAAGCAACTGACCATAGTAAGAAAAAACACTGACGCCTCTTACTGTTTCCAGTGTGCCGGCTCCTGGACTTGGCATTTTATGATTTATGAACTCAACTCAATCCTCCCAGCCAAGCTACTTGCCACCTAAGGAGAGCGCTGCAGACAGGAGAGGTCACACAGGAGCAAAGTGGGGGTGCTGGGGGAGGAACCAGGTCTCCTGGCTGGGAGCCTCTTACACCATAAACCTGGAATCCAGGTACAAAAGCGCTTGCTGAATGAATGACCACAGAAATATAAAAATCAGCTAGATAATCTTGGGTGGTGACTCATGATTTCTTAACTGGATATTTTATTTTGAGATAAACGTAGATTCACATGCAGTTGCAAAAAATAAATTGGAAACCATACAGAAAGATCCCCCGTATCCTTCATCTGGTTGCGTCCCCAACGGTGACGTCTTGGAATATCAGAACGAGGCTGTTGATGTAGACGTTGCCAAGATACAGAATATTTCCATCACCACTAGGTTCCTCCACGTGGCTCTTTCATAACCACACACCCATTTTTCCTCCAGACCTCATCCTTCCGTAACCCCATCGATAATTTGTCCTCTGCATCCATAATTTTGTTTTCAAAAATGTTATGCAATAGGCTTATTTCCCATTCAGCATAATTCTCGAGATTTATCCAAGTTGTTATACATATCAGTTTATTACTTTATTGCCAAATTCTATCTCATGGTATTGACACACCACAATTTGGGTATCACATCTGGGATGTTTCCACTTTGGGGCTATTCCAGGTGTTTTTTGTGTTTGTTTTTTTTTCTCTCTTTTCACTGTGGTAAAATCACATATATTTTGGATATTAACCCTTATCAGATATTTGGTTTGCAAATATTCTCCCATTCCATAGACTGCCCTTTCACTGTTGTTTCCTTATGACAGGTTTTGTGTGAACATAAATCTCTATTTCTCTGTGATAAATGCCCAGGGATCCAATTTCTAGGTCATACGGTATTTGTATTTTTAGTTTTTTCTTATTTAAACAAACTGCCACACTGTTTCCCGAAATAACTGTGCCATCTTACACCCCTACCAGCAATTTACGAGATAAGAAGAGGTTAGGGCACAGCACAGAGGGATGACCACATGAAGACAGAGAGAGAAGGTGGCCATCTACAAGCCAAGGAGAGAAGCCTCAGAAGAAACCTACCCTACCCACACCTCAATTTTATAGAACTGTAAGAAAACACATTTCTGTACTTAAGTCACCCAGTCTGTGGCATTTCATTATGACAGCCCTCCCAAACTAAGGCACCTAGGCAGGTGGGGCTAGAGGCTCTTCCAGAGCTGACCAAGCCCTAAGGGGTCTTAAGTTCCTCTTCTGGGCACCATCCCGACCTCACCCAAAGGCTAACAGCTGGGGGCTAACACTCTCTGCCCTTCCTCTTCCCTGAAGGAGAAGCTCTGGGAACCAGATGGTACCAAGGCAGGTACCTGGTTCCTTCAATGCAGAAATACCACTGCTGCTGCTGTCTTTGTGTGTGTGTGTGAAGGGTAAATGGACCCAGGAGAGGGGAGCCTGGGAGGAACTGTGGGGGCTGCAGGCTGAGCCTCTGTTTCTTCCAGAGCCCCTGGGTCACGATCCATACCAGCTAGCAGGTGGGATTTTGGTGATGCTCAGGCAGGTCTGTGGGTCCAGGTGCCCTGCACTTCTGACCATCCCTTAGGATGTCTTATGCACTCCTAACTCATGAGTACTGGTTCCATGATGGGGTTCATTTTTATTTGAATAATCCACAAATGACCTAGCCCAAAAAATGCAGGAGGAGATCAGAGTCAATTTGTCTGCTTGGGGATGCCCTGAGCATCAGAGATGCCAGATAGGGGTCATCCTACTTTCAGGTAGAGAGAGAGAGAGGACCTACTGTCAGACAGCATGACCAATAGTGCAGGCTCTCAGTGCACACGCCACCAGGTGTGGAGTTGGTTTTCAGGAGGACACAAGGATGGGGTGTGGCCCCCTCTACTCCATGAGCTGGGCTGGCATCCCGTTCATGAGGACTCTGCCCTCATGACCTAGTCACCTTCCAAAGACCCCACCAGCATCATATACACTCTTTGGACTTAGCATTCCTCTTTCTCTTTAAACTGCCATAATCCAGGATCCTGACCTCTACTCATTTCAGGTGACTACAAATAATAATTTACTTCTATGTTTACCCAGTGCACACCATGAGCTCTTTCTTAGGCTAGAAAAGAACGGGAGTCTTACTTGCTCCATCTCACCTAAAAACCAATCCCTAATACCTCAAATTTTCCAAAGATTCTACAGCCTATCACCTAATCTTCAGATCAAACTCTGTATTGGTTAAGCTTCTTTAACTGCAAGCAAATGAGCAAAGTCGGTAAAAAATGAAGTACTGGAAGAATAGCAGGTAGTTCGAAGAAGTACAGCCTTAGAAAGCACAAAAACTAGAGTGACCCCAAAGATCTCAGCCATGAGAACACCAGTGTCATCACTTTAGGGAGCTGCCATTGGATGATACAGACCCAACTGCTTCTCAAACTCCAGAGAGAATCTGATTAGCCAAGACCATCAAAGCCATATGGTACAGTATGTCAGTTGCTCAAAGGAAAAGAAGAGATGGTGTACTCAAAAAAGGAGGAGGCATGGAAAACAGGGCAGAGAAAAACAGAAAAATACATATTTTAAGTTTTATGTTTGATATTACAACTATGAGTTTATATTAGAACACAGATCTGAAAATGGTTTTCATTTAGTATAATACAACTATCCTTCTACGGCTATATACACATTTATAATTCTTTTTTCAACAGCTGCATGTAATTCTATTGAATGTATATACCATAATTAACTTACCCATTTGCCCAATACCCTAATAGTTTCTAATAGAGTTCACCATTAAAAATAATTTTTGCCATTATACATTTACCTACCTTTGTACACTTTGGTTTTTGAGGAATAATGATTCAAACGGTATATACACACATAAATTTATATAACCGACGGTGGAATTGTCTTGTTTTTGACACAGTCACTAGATATAATCCCTTTTCTATGATTTAAAAATCATTGGGGAAAAAAGTAGATTAACATCACTTTATTTTGCATTTCCTTGATTATGAGTGATACTGGATCATTTCCATTAGCTGCTTTTTCATCTTCTTTGAACTGGCCATTAGCTTTGTCCGTTTTTTTCTACTGAATTCCCGGTGTTACTACTTATTTGTAATAATGCTTTGAATATCAGGAATTATTATCCTTTGTTATATTGGTTTGCAACATTTTCTTTCAATCTCATATTTGTATATTTGACTTTGATATTTTCCACACATAAATGTTATCTTAACGTCAGCTCCTGGGTTATGTGTAATACTTAAGAAGGTCTGCCTCAAAATTATATTGTTTTTCTTGTATTTTAATACTGTACTTAGATCTTTGATCTTTCAGAGCTTCATTAGTGTACAAGGTATACTGTCTTTCCATAGAGCTAATTGTCCCAACACCACTTGATTAATCCATCTTCCCCCCACCGCAATGAAAAATCCTTTTTGTCACACATAAAGGGAGTCTAATAGGACCACCCATCCCCTAGTCTCTATCCCAAAGTAAAGAGAGCCCCAAAGCTCCATTTTCTAGCACTCATGCCCTCTGGATAAGAGATCCCCTCACATGGCCTACTATGCTGCCACAGGTAACAGTCAAAAGAGAGAACCCAAAAGCACTGTGTGCTCCAAGTAAGTATACTCCTCCAGGGGTGGGGGTATTCTATTTTAGGTAATGAAATGTGGTAACGGTTGCACAAATCTGAACATACTAAGTCACTGAATTGTATATTTTAAATGGGTGGATTGTATGGTATGTGAATTATATCTCAGTAAGGCTGTTACAAACAAACAAACAAAAAACCCTCCACCAGACCCAAAATCACTATTGATAAAGAGTGAAGAGAACGCTCATGATCCTTTTTAAACACTCAATTCTCTCTTCCTGCAACACTGAAAGCATAATTATCTACCTTAGGACTAAATGACTATTCTCATTATGCCCACTCTATCTGACAGTTCCCTGCTTCTAATGCCCATATGTTCTGGGAATAGTAAGGCACTTCTTGCCATCACTCCCTAGCTCCTTCTTTCAATGATTTCTCATCATGGTACATATTGCATACTTATCACATAGTATGTATTTCGACTTTGTCTTCTCCCACCAGGTCTGTAGGGGCAAAAACTTGCATATTTTGCACTCTGCTGTATCCCCGGCACCTAAAAACACGGCCTGGCACATTAGTAAATGCTCAGTTAATGTTAAGTGAGTGAGTACTACATTCCTTACTATAGCACAATTCTATATTCTATAGATGGTCAGAATCAGCTCATCAACTTAAATATATATTGGGATTTTTACTGGACTATCAATAAATTTACATATTTAACACAGGGAGAAATATCTTTGCCAGACTCTTTCTATACAAAGACAGGTCTAGCTTTCCATTTAGTCTACTTTTTAATATTTAAAAAGTAAGTTTAAGTTTTAAGATCTACATTCATAAGCTAACTGTAGGATATGTTTTTGTTTTGGTACCAGTCTTGTCAGTTTCACAGAGTAAGATGGGCAGCTTTACTGTATTTATTTTATGCTCTAGAAGAATTCAAACATCACAGGAATTGTCTGTGCTTTTCTACGGGTCAAAGTGTTAAACTACCTTCTTCTGTTTATTTCATGGCTATTTATCTATTCAAGTTTTCTAGCTTGCTGACTTTAGTTTGTTCTTAATATCTGCCTAATCCTACATTCTACCAAATGCCTTCGTTCCAACTGGCCTGTTCTAAGTGCCAGGAAAAGTGAGAGTCCCTCATCAGCAATGCTACAAGTCCTTGTATATAGTCATACAGAGGGAGTGGTAAGCCAACATGTGACCTTGTTCATCACAGAATCTTTCAATTCTGAATGTGTCCATTTTTCTACTTCCTGGGAAAGCAGAGAGTTCTTTGTCTTCTCTAAAATGTATAGGTTTCTTAGTCAACCTACTAGATTTTACATGCAGCTGAACATGACAGCAAGGAAATCTTTACCTTAATGGCACTAATTATATGTCAAGGGTTGTGTGCTAAGCCCTTTAAATGGATGATCTAACATATTCTTAAAGATGTTTTAAATGGGAAAGTAAAATAGATTTTTATTTTTAAAAGATTAAGCTGGCTACAGTGTTAAAAATGCACTTCAGGGGAAGAGCAAGAGGGATAATGGTTGTAACATTATGGTAAAAATAAAAATGAGATGGGTTCATCTTGGACTATGATGATGGGACATAGACTGGAAAAAAGTGGACAGATCCTAGAGGCATTTAGAAGATTGAATCTAGAGGACTTGGTGGAATGGGGGTGAGGAGGAGGGAATAATTGAGGATGACTCTCCAGTATGAATTCGCTGATGATGAGCAAGATGTACACTCTGCCTGAAGGCTTTCCCACATTCTTTACATTCATAGGGCCTTTCTCCAGTATGAATTCTCTTATGAAGTGTAAGATGGGCAATCTGGCTGAAGGCTTTGCTACATTCCTTACACTCATAAGGTTTTTCTCCTGTATGAATTCTTTGATGTAGAGTAAGGGATTTACGATGGCTAAAGGCTTTCCCACAAACATTACATTCATAAGGTTTCTCGCCTGTATGACATCTCTGGTGACAAATCAGGGATGCTCTCTGTCTGAATGACTTTCCACATTCAAGACACACATATGGTCTTTTGCCAGTGTGGAGTCTCTGATGTTGAACAAGATAGGAACCATCACTGAAGGCCTTCCCACATTCAATACATTCATAAGGCTTCTCACCAGTATGAACTCTCTGGTGTTGAACAAGGTGTGCAATTTGACTGAAGGCCTTACCACATTCCTTACATTCATAAGGTTTCTCTCCAGTGTGTATTTTCTGATGTTGTGCAAGGTGTGCATTTTGGCTGAAAGTTTTGCTGCATTCCTTACATTCATAAGGTTTCTCTCCAGTATGAATTCTCTGATGATGAGCAAGGTGTGTGCTCTGCCGAAACGCTTTCCCACATTCTTTACACTCATAGGGTTTCTCTCCAGTGTGAACTCTTTGATGAAGAGTAAGTGAGCCACGATGGCTAAAGGCTTTCTCACAGATATTACACTCATAAGGTTTCTCTCCTGTATGAATTCTCTGATGTACAGTCAGGGACGAGCCATGGCTAAAAGCCTTCCCACACACATTACATTTGTAAGGTCTCTCTCCAGTATGAATTCTCTTATGCTGAATAAGGCCTATGTGATCAGTGAAAGCCTTCCCACAATCAATACAATCAAACGGTTTCTCTCCAGTATGATAATACCTCCGATGACGTATAAGAGAAGCATTCTGCCTGAAAGCTTTCCCACAGTCAATACATTCATATGGTCTTTTTCCAGTGTGAATCCTTCGATGATGAGCTAGGGATGAACAATCACTAAAAGCCTTCCCACATTCAATACATTCATAAGGTTTCTCTCCGGTATGAACTCTCTGATGTTGAGCAAGATGTGCAAGCTGGCTGAAGGCTTTATTACACTGCTTACATTGATAAGGTTTTTCTCCAGTATGAACTCTCTGATGTTGAATAAGATGAGCATTCTGACTGAAGGCTTTCCCACATTCAGTACATTCAAACGGTTTTTCTCCGGTATGTATTCTCTGATGTTGAGCAAGGTGGGCACTCTGGCTAAAGGCTTTCCCACATTCAATACATTCATAGGGTTTCTCTCCGGTATGAATTCTTTGATGAAGAGTAAGGGTTGAGATTTTGCTGAAAGTTTTCTCACAGTCATTACATTTCAAAAGTTTCTTTTCTCCATAGACTTCCTTGTGCTTTTTAACAAATGAATGTGTTTTTAAACTTTTCTTATCTGTGTCAAAATTATATATTCCCTCTTCGATGGGAAATACCTGCTTTAGATAAGATAATCTTTTCAGATGAAAAACTGTCCCAGATTTGTTAAAGTGGTCTCTCTTCTCAATAAGGCTGTCTATATGAGTGACTGTCTCTTGACTAAAATGTGTCTTCTGACTTATCAGCTCCCTTGTAAACAGGTCTTCACATTTCCAGTTTACCCCTAATGTGGAACATTTAAGGTCACAGCTTGGAAGACTTTCCATTATCATTGCCTGGGATAATTTTTCTTCATAAATGCCCTGGTTTGGAGATAATTCCTTGGTCATCCAAATATATTCCAAATCTGAAAGATATTAAGAAAGCAAATGTCTCCTTTACTTAAGGCTAGAAGAATGGAAACTTCCAAAGTGAAACCATGTGAATCAGTTACTGAAGACCACAGAGGTCTTTGACAATTGTTATATTAAGTTAGGCAATGCAACCATCTTTGCATTTTTGGAATAAACCCTCCTGGCCTCTGGTGTATTATTTCAATATGACTTTTTATTTAAAGTTATGTATCAGTATTCATAATTGAGATTTGTCTGTATCTTCCTTTTTTGATGCTATTTCAGTAAGATTTTGGCATCAAGTGTTATGTTGTCTTCATAAACACAACTTTTTAAAGTTCTCTTTTTTATTTTGTCATGGAACATTTTAAACAATATTGATGATATTTTTCCTTATGGGTTTTACAGAATTTATTTGTGAAACTATTCAGCGTTGTTGCTTCTGTTCTTGGGGGAGGCAGTTCTAAGATAACTTTCTACATTTCTTCAATGGTAACCAGTCTGTTTAAATTTTCTATCTCTTCTGGTGTCAGTTGTGGTAATTTATATTCTCCTAAAACATTACCCATCTCATCTAGGTTTTCAAATTATTTACAGAAAATTGAGGAAAATAGATTCATATTCTTTTTTTATGTATAAGTCTTTTAAATACTTATGCATCAATGGTTACTATTATTTTTGTTTTCTCTCATTTGTTTATATATTTGACAGTTTATATATTTTATTGGTTTTCTAAAGAAGCACCAATTTGATTTTCATTAAATCTACTATTTTCTAGTTCATTTATTCCTATTTTTATCTCCAGCAGTGTAAGTCACTATACATAACTTATTTTAGTTTTCCTTAGACTCTTTTTGTTCTTTTTCTAATATCTTGAGTAGGATGCTTATTTATATTTTTTCTCATTTCTTATTTACTAATGTATACCATTAGGGCTAGAAGTGACCTACCAACATCCTCTTCTTGAACCTATGAGAACTGGAAGCAGGAAAAATCCATACTACAAGTTACAGAATAAACTGTAACCGTCTCACTTGAGGCTGATTCCACTGTAATATGTAATCTATAAACTCTTATCTAGCTTTCATACCAGAAAAACAGCTTTCAAGCAAGGCAAGGAAAAAATAAATTAATTAAAAAAAATAAACTGGGCCAAAAATCCCAATGAGTACAAAAGTGGGCAGATAATGAACAAAGAGAAAGGAGATAATGTTAGTTACCTAATTTACTCATCTTTTATATGAGAATCAAATGATGATGTTTTGAATCTCAAGTGGATGCATTTTATTTTATTTGAGACAGAACATGCAGGAAGAGTCAGAGGGAGAAGCAGACTCCCTGCTGAGCAGAGAGCCCGATGCGGGGCTTGATCCCAGAACCCTGAGGTCATGACCTGAGCCAAAGGCAGACGCTTAACCGACTGAGCCACCCAGGCGCCCCAAGTGGATGAATTTTAAAATACAGATTTAAAAATATATCAAGACATAAGGGTTAACAACTTGTAGGACTAAAAACCTTTTCAATTCAAGGAGTGGGATGGTTTGAAGGGAAAAAAAACCCAGATATAAACAACAAAGCAAAAATCAATAACAAAACAGAAACACTAAAGACAAAAATAATTAAAAGCAAAGGGAAGAGCATAACTATAATAATTGTTAACCTGATAAGCTCACATTTTAAAGAAAATATTTAAACCAGTTCAAAAAACTAAACATAAATTTGTCTAAAGAATTCAGAAATATTGAACATCAGAGATGATTATACAATATGGTACTTGAGAACTAGGTAAACATCATAGAACATAACAAGAGTTCACAAACAGATCGGGGTATCTGCAGGAAATAAGTAAAGGTAAAAATGGCATGTCATACCACTGGAGAACATCTATTTAAAATATAGTGTTAGAACAAAAAGTTTCAATTTGAGACGGATTTTGAGAGGTGTTTTCCAACAAGTATCAGAGAAGGAACGTCTTTTTTTTCTTCTTTTTTTTTTTTTTTAGAGAAGAAACATCTTGAGAATAGTTTCCCCAACTCTAGTTATCTGCACTTACCTGGGCAGAGACCTCCTGTCATCTCTCCTTTCATCATCCAAGGCTCTTTACCTTGCTCCAATAAGGCAATCACATCTGGTTTAGAAATGCAAAGACCTGCATATAAGAAAAGATAAGAAAATTGGCTAGGCTGTAGATATTGCAGAGCTATGACCCAGTCCAAATGGTATTGAGAGAAAAGGGATATTGTAGGGAAATGCTGATAAAGGCATAAAAAAAGACTACTGAGGTGAAAAGACTCCAAAATGGGGAGGAGGAAGATACTCTTACCCAATGAAAGCAGGTTCCTATAGTTCTCTAGCATCACTTTCTTATACAAAGTCCTCTGAGCAAGATTCAGCCATTCCCATTCGTCTTGGGAGAAGTCTATGGCCACATCCGTGAAAGTCACTGAATCCTGAAATGACACAAAAATAATCTTGCTAAATCTTCATGCCATTACGTAGCTGGCTCTAGGGGTAAAGGGCTATGCTGTTTACACTATGGGGGGAAGAAAAAACCAAACACGGTGGGTAAGTAATTACACCAGGGTATAAATCATCCAGGTCATACACTTGGCTACTGGACAACTTTTCTGCCTAGTTATATCATCCATATTAGGAAAAAGAAAAAATATGAGACACACTCTCTGCTCTTCAAACATTTACAATTTTATAGTGGTGAGAAGATATTCTCATTAAGAAAAAATGTTGACTGAAGACAGAACATCAAGTACTAAATTGCAGTTGGCCCTTGAACAACACAGGTTTGAACTTCACAAGTCCACTTCCATGTGAATTTTTTTCAGTAAATAAGTACAGTACTGTAAGTGTATTTCCTCTTCCGTATGACTTTAACAATTTCTTTTCTTTAGTTCACTTTATTGTAAGAATATAACATAATACACATAGCATACAAAATACATATTACTCAACTGTTTATATTTTAATCAGTAAGGCTTCTAGTTAACAGTAGGCTATTAGTAGTTATATTTGGGGGGAACAAAGTTATATGTGGATTTTCAACTATGCAGGGATCAAAGCCCCCAACCCCCATGTTGTTCAAAGGTCAACTATATTTTATCTATGTTAGGAGCTAGACCACTTTTAATTCCTTTGGGACTGTGGGGGAAAGTTTCAAGGAAGGATGCTGACCTGACGAACATGATTTCAACCTCCACAATATATTCTAAGAAATCTTAGTATTCTGAGATGTTAAGAGGTACGTCTAAAAAATGAAAGAGAAAAAAATGCCTAGCAATACTTTTTCCTTGTCACATAAAAATATATTTGCATTAGGAAAACACATTTGGAAAGTTGGTTTTTTTTAATCTGCTGAGAAGTACCAAAAGAGATCATATGAGATGAGCACAACCTGTTTTGTTATATGGGCTGAATTTCCTAACCAACCAGGAAGAGATACCAGTCATCCATTTTGTGGTTGCTGGCAGATTTTCCATTTCTTACTTTGTGATTTCACTTATATCAACCTTTAAGAATGAGTTTTGAATAAACACCAGTTGTGAATAAAGCCAGAGAAAAAGCTCAGATTATTCCAAAGAATTCAGGCTCTGGCACTGACTAGCTAGGTGATCTTGGCAAAGTTAATAACTGCACATGCCTGTTTCCCCACACACAAAAAAATGGGAATAATTTTGGTAGCTACCTCACAGCTGCATTGTGCGAATCAAATGAGGTAACAGTCACGGTACCTGGCTAAGTGCTCAAGTATTGTTAACAAAGACAACAATGAAGGGGGATAGGAAAGAAGGAACAGGAGGGTGAGGCCAAGCACAGGTGAAAATATTTGGTTTAACACTTCAACAAAAGTTTCACTTGTTTTATTTTACCTAATTTCAATATACTATAGTAGTTAAGAACATGGTCTCTGAAGCCAGACTATGTTCAAATCCTGTTCTGTTCAGTAAGCTGAAGATACTAGTTTTGCTTTCAACCTTTGGAGAGTTTTTTTTTTT